AATTATGTCCCCACTGGATGCAACAAATGCCTCGTTTATAATGGGTTTTAATGGTTTTGTCTCGTCGCTCCGGCCGGACAGGGCATCACAGTTTAGTGGGGGCGTAACATTTCCGTCACACGCTTGAGGTATTCAGCCAATCACAATGCACTGCATAGCTGGCCAATCACAGCACACCTCGCTTTTCAGAAAGATGAGCTTTGTAAAAATCGACTTGTTTCAGAAAGGCAGGGCAAAGAGGAGAAACAATAATGTACAGTATGTGGAAAATAATGTTTTTTGAACTTTAAACCACATAAACATTTCATTACACCAAATACACAAAATAATGTTATTTTTAGCAACATCATATGACCCCTTTAAAATTGCCAGAGACTGGTTGTGATTGGAATCAAGTACAATCACAGAGACAATTCAATTCATTACCGTTTCCGCGATTTTGTCATGTTTTTTTACTTCTTTGGGTTAATTGTTGAATGGTTTTCCCTTTCTTTTTCTTTTTGAATGTTGGTTATTATTTGAATATTGCAAACCATATGGTTATGTTGGGTCTTTATAGGTTTTGCTGCTTGAAATTAAATTTGCACTTGGAACGTGAGTAATGTTTCCTGGGTTTTGATTTGATTTGATTCATCTCCTTTCTTGTTTATTTGTAACTGGTGGTTTTTATTGAGCTATCCGGATTTAAGTAAATTGACAGGGATTTAACCTTGTCTGGAGCCCAAACTTAACACAACTAAATAAAAATTATCTGGTAATGTAGGAAGCCAGGGGCACCACCGTTACAGTAACCTATTACATTTCCAAAGTAACCTTCCCAACACTATTATTACATGATTACCTCACCTGTTCCACATCACCTTATTTAAATCGTTACATCCATATTAGTTTTAAATTGCCCCTGTCCCAAACTTCTTTTTTGGAACGTGTTGCAGTCATCAGATTTTGAGTGTATATTTTCAAAAATACATTACATTCATCGATCCACTTCTGCATATTATTAATTTGAAATGACATTAGGATATGTCCCCACAACCTTCAAATTGGCTCTTATTTAGCCTCTCGTGACTCCCCAGCGTGAGAGTTCCTGTCTAATGGCTCCACTGAAAGAGATCAGCGCTGCTTTAGATGCCCCATATCCTGCGAATCCAGAAAGTGGAACTTCTCCTGAAGGAAACCAATGATTGATTTCAAAGCTGTTAGTGCTTATTGGTATTTTATACTCCTTAATGGACCTAGGATATATGTTTTGTAAGAGACTATTCAGTACCTGAGGTCTACAAAACTGCATGTTTACAAAAACATTTACCTGCCATACTTGATATACTGATGAGTCGTCCTTTTGATTGCCGTATCAGAGGCAGAAAGACTTGTGTAATTTCCACACTACCAATAAAATTCACATCTAAGCATTTTTTATATATTTTAATTGGCAGAATTTCTCCATCACACAAGTATCCCAGCACTCTGGCATTGTTCACTAGTGCCCAGAGACCTGCCCAGAGACAAGTCATGAAAAATAACATTAATTCACTAGTCCGTATGTATACTACTAAACTTTAAACCGTAACATTTCTTCATGATTGTTAGTAAAGCTTATTGCCACTATGAGAGAGGTTGCCAGGGCATTGCTATGTGGTTGCTACAGTGTTCTGAGTGGTTTGTAGCCTGTTGCTAAGCAGTTTCTTGGGTGTCCTGGGTTGTTATAGGCCTTGCTGGGATATTTTGGGTTATGCAGTTTCTTTGGCATTCTGATCTACTATGCGGTTGCTAGGGTGTTTTTTGGATAGTTGCTAGAATGTATTTCTAAAAGGTCGCATGAGTGCTCTGGGGTGTTGCTTTGCAATCACTAGGGTGCTCTTTGTGATTGCTATGCATTCGCTAGGGTTTTTAGGGTGTGACTGTTATGTGGAGTTACTAGGGTGTCTAGGTGTTATTGGGTCATTGTTAAATAGTTACCAGTCTTCTTAAGGTTATTGCTAGTTTTTCTAGGTTGCTAGGGTTTCTGAGTAGTTGCTAAGTGGTTGCTAGGGTGTTCTGAATAGTTACTGGGGTGTAATAAAGTGTTTAAGTGGTTATTTGCTAATGTGGTGCTCTGTGTAATTGCTAGGATGTTGCCAAAAGTGTTCTGAGGGTTGCTATGCAGCCATTATGGTGTTCTTGGTGGCTTTTAGCATTTCCATGTGATTGCTATGCAGATTCTAAGCATCTTGTTGTCTTCAGAGCACCTTTATCATTTGGTTTCTGCGTAGACCTGCGTTCGCTTTTCTTGTTATTTACACTACATACGCAAATTGGTGGGTGGGGCTAAACAGGCAGTGATGTAGAATCGGTAGGCGGAGCTAAACAGGCAGTGATGTAGAATCAGTGGGCGGGGCTAAACTGATAAACTGAGGCAGTGCTGTAGAATGTGTAGATGGGGCTAAACAGGCAGTGATGTAGAAGCAGGCATTGATCATCTTCTGCGGAGGCGGTGCTTATCCACACTATTACATCATAGAGTAGAACATTCCACAAGCTGTTGTTTTGACAGACTGCCTTCAATATAAGCTGTTTTTAGACTTAAGAGAAAGATTTGAGTTCTAAAACTTACATAATGTTTTTATAGTACACTGACCTGATGTCAAAAGATCAAGGGAATGTTGATTTCTCAGTTCATGACTTCTTTAAGGTGTTGCTGTTAAGTAGTAACTAGGGTATTCTGGGCGATTGCTAGGATATTCCTAAGTGGGTGCTCTGGGAAGTTGCTATGTGGTTGCTAGAATGTTCCATATTCTTGCTAAGATGTTTCTTAATGGTAACTACGGTATTTTGGCTGGTTGCTAGGGCTTTTTAAGCAGATGCTATGAGTTTAATGCTTGAGTGTTCTATATAGCTGCTAGGATATTGCTAAGTGGGTGTTCTGGGTAGTTGCTGTGCAGTTGCTAAGGAGTCCATGGTGGTTTTAATAGCATTCATTCATTCATTATAAATGAAAAGACTCGAGTCTTTATGAGATTGTAGTCTCTGGATATGGTTCAGATCTCTTCTTCAGTGTAAGTCAGTGAGGTTTTCTCACCTGTTTGGCTCTGGATGTACTGGTGTGCCTGTGTGATCTGGCTGCTGTTGGTGATGTCTAACTGTAGGACGGTGAGGTTTGGTGATGCAGCTTTCTTAAGCTCCAGAGCTCCAGGACTGAGTTCATCCAGAACCCCTGCAAACACCCTCAACCCTGTGCTGTCTAAAAACCTGGCCAGATCATGACCAAAACCCGAATCACAACCTGTGAGACAAACACACGTTCAGTTTCGCCGCATATTCCACAATTCCAAAGCATTATGGGTAGTATTGGGTAGCCGTCATTGAAAGCATGTAATAATGTAGCAGCTCATATTTGTTTATCATTTTAATCTGTACAGAAGCCAGTCTGTGTCAAGTGACATCACAAGAATGCAGTGATTTATGGTCTTATAGAAACCAGTGCAGTTAACCTTACTGAGATACAGTAAGTACAAAGTGGCAGAGAAATATTGATTTACTGGGTCAAACATGTTCACATTTCATTGCATAAAGACAATTTTGGGACCAATTATTTTGTATGTACAGTGACATTTTTTCATGACTATTAAGAACATTTACCCCCAAAATCATATTCTCATTACCATAATACTGTATTTACTGCTTCAATTATTTTTTTATCAGCCTAAAGACATTAGGGTTTTTTTTTTTTTTTTAATTTATATATATACTGTTATTTATATAATTTATATATACTGTCAATGCTGATAACATTACTATATTGATTTTTTGACTGTAAATTCAGGACTGTAAATTTGGGAGGAATGCCATAAAACAATGTCACAATGCAAAAAAAAAAAAAGTCCTAAAATTAGGCTTCATTTCTTAATACAAGCTGTAATTTCTTATTTTATATCTAACTCTTGATTTAGTTCGTTTTTGAGAGGTTTAATGAGATTCACCCTTCTAGAATCAGTGAAAGACAATTTATATATATTGAGATTCATAATGTATACAAATGCACAAACAGAATTTCGCCAATAATGCACAGAAGCAAACAGGACAGTGTCTTACCTGTGATCAGTACCGCCTTGTTTTGGGTAGGCAAGATGACCCCTTCTCTCCCTACATAGTGGATGCCACTACACAGCACACTCACAAGGCCTACTTTAAGAGCACTTGAATGGACCAAACAGCTCAACGTCACTCCAGGAACCACGAGCAGCACCAACCACCTCACCGACCGGCCCTCAGCAACCCGCAGAACCAGCAGCCCAACACAGACCACCAGCAGCAGATCGTATAGAAACCCCAGACAGCCTTCTACAATCCCCTCCATTTCTACACCACGCGCAGAAATGAAGCAGCCAGTGCTATCAGGAGATCTAGAAAGGCGCCGGAGATTACAATCGGTCTATTGCGCTCAGCTGGTTTGTTGAGTGTGTGAATCTTGTAAATCTTTCAGGTTTTGTGCTTCACACTGCACACAGACATGAATCCCACCCTCAACCAGTGCATATCATATTTTGTATATTTAGGCATGTGTAAACATGCCTACGGCTGTAGAAAAATTGGGCTGGAGGTGAATTATATCATTTTATTATATACAACTCTAGTCCATGTTTCGTCTTAAAAAAAACAAACAGCTACATTGAAACAAACGGAAACTATAAAATAAAAGGATATGGATGATAAAATGTAATGTGCTTTTAACAACATAATTGGATGCATTAATCTGATGAACTGCAAGATTGCACTTGTCTCTCAAAGGTCTTTTGGCTTGACAGCATTTCAATAGACATTTGGATCTACTTTCATAACCACCAAGCTTTAGTATCAAGTTCAAGTAATTCTAGATGGACTTTGGACAGAAATAAGATTCAAGTTTCCAGGTGAGCTGATTTGGCAATACGTTCATTTCAGGTAACTGTGACTTTGTTTCTAGAGAGTATGAGGTGGAAAAAGGAGGATCCTCTAAAACAGCTTGTGCAACCAATTAGGGATCTGGTGCTGGTCTATGTAATGTAGGTTGACCATACATGCCATTTTCCCAGGACGCGTCCTGGGAAGGATTTCTATATTGCCTAAAATATCTAGGTTTTGGCTTTGTTTGCA